GCCACCTTCCTGTTGTTTGGCAGGCTGATGTTGTCCTGACGGAACGGAAGTTGTATTTCATAATGGCCATCTTTCCTTTTGACTGAGCTGTTCATCACATGCAGAAATTGCTTGTCTTCAAATGAATGTTCTTGTTTTTCATTGTAGGCTAATTCTGAGAAGTCCTGGTTATATTGATGTACAAGGAGCTCCTCCAGCTTGACCACAGATATCTTGTTGGACATTATTCGTGGACGACCATGCTCATCCATAGGTGTAGTACTACCAAGAGGTCCATTTATAGTCCAACCTAGACGTGTTAAGACTGCGTAATGCCCTTCACCTTGACTATTGATCACTTTCAGGGGCTCCATAGCCTTTGGGACATTTGCACCAATCAATAGGCCTACATCTGCCTTGATGGGTCTTAGGTGGACATCCTTTAAATAAGACCATCTTTTTGTGTCCATCTCTGTAGGAATGTTCTCTTGACTGACAGGAATGGCATTTTGTGTGAAGACCTCAGGAAGTTCTATGAAGCTGTTGCCATCCAGGCTGCATACTTCCAGTCCTCTCATAGCATGGGTTTTCACAGGCTTTTCATGACCCATCGTTTGGAGTAAGATTTCGGTTTTCTTTCCTCTAACAGACAACTGTTCCATCAGTTTCTCCGTGACAAAAGTAGCATTGCTTCCAGGGTCTAGAAACGCATAGTTTTCTATCAAACAACTGCCTTTATATGCTTTAATTTTTACAGGTACCACTGCCAACTTGTAGTCTGTCGTTCTGTCTCCTGTTTGTGCCGCTGATGATACCATAGCAATTTGTGCTGCCGATGAAACTTTAGCAATGCCATTGCTCCTGGTGTCTGAATCCTTCTTAGCAGCTGGTTTGGCATTTCCTGGAGTAAAGTTCTCCATATGTAGGATAGTGGGATGTTTCTTCTCACAGGAACGACACGTGAGATGTCTTTTGCATTCTTTACTCATATGACCTTTAACCAAGCAGGCAAAGCAGAGTCCATTTTTCCTTAGCAGCTCAACTTTCTCCTTGTAGGGAATCTTTGTCATTGCTTGACATGTTTCCATCACATGATCTCCTTTACAGAAAGCACAAGGCTTGATGAAAGCATCGATAGCTGTACGGATGCCCTCTGGCTTGTCCCCCTTTTTCCTAGCCTTGTGTTTCGTGTTGGCTTCTGTCTTGGGAACTACTGCTGTAGCAAAGCTTTTCTTGCTGCTAGATCTCATATAAGGCAAGTCATTTTTGGATTTTCTCCCATTAGCAGAATCCTGGATATCTCCAAAGACAGGATCTTGAATTATTCTGGCTTGTTTTTCTATAAACTGAACAAGGTCATGGAATTTAGGTCTCTGCTGTGTTCTTTTAGTGATGTTACATGCAGCAGACCACCATTTCTCGCGAAGTTTAAATGGTAGGTAGGTTTAAGGCCTTTTCCATGTATGCTGTTGTGACTTTGAAGTCATCACCAAAGTGATATTTTAGTAGGCGCTTTGCTTCATCATAGCCTGTTGTTGCACTCATGTGAAAGCAGCTTTGCACTAGTTCCTTTGGCTGACCAACAGTATACTGTTCCAGGAAGTACAGTCGATCCTCATTACTGTTGGTTTTGTCCTCGATGTTATGCTTGAAAGCCTTCATAAATGGTCGGAAAGTGAGAGGATCGCCGTCAAACACCAGAACCTCCCTTTTTGGAAGTTTAGCTTCTTTCTGCTGCATCACCAGCAGATCTGCCAAGTCTGTCTGTCTTTGCATAATATTTGTAAGATTGAGGCTCTGAGCTATTTCACCTCTGGGAGTGGATTGGTCTCTCCTGTGTGGTCCGTCAGACACGACAACTCTGGATGTATGAGGTTTTGTTGTAGCTCTTGGTGGTTGCTCAGGCTTTTCTGTAATTCCAGCTAGTGGTGAGTACCGGGTGTGTATCATTTTTTGTAAGGGTGTTTTAGGTATAGTTCCTATCCGTGCAAACTCCAGTTGTTCTAGGCTTACTTCTATTTTGTCAGATGCATTTATTTGTTCCTCCATTTGTTTTCCAGATTCTTCACTTTCAAATCCCTCCAGAGCCTTCAACCTTGCATCAGCTGCAGCAATATCTGCTTCCAAGTTCAGAGATTCCATCTTTAAACCCAGCTGATGCTTTTCCATTTCCAGTTCATGTTTCTTATTAAGAGCTTCAGCTCTGGCCAGTAGCGCAGCTTTGTCTGCAGCAGCCTTCATGCGTACTGAAGCAATGGATGAAGATTTTGAACATTTAGAAACATTTAAACCCTTTAAACCAGTCTGTGAGATACTGTCCCCAAAGTCCACAAGAGTTTGTGGGTCAGGCTGAGATTTTATCTATTGATCCACCTCAGTCAGAAACGCGTCATAATCTGCCATTTTTGGCTCATACCAGTCCAAAGTTTCATTTATTCTGACATTCTCAGGCAGCAGTTTCTGAACAGCTTCATGACACCTTTTAAATTCATCCAGCATTCTTAGAAATGCATTTGCCCTTTCATTGATATTGGCAACATCAACACCTTCTTTCATCATTGTTTTTATTTCATTCATTTTCCGTTTCCCTCTGCGCTGAGTGATTTGAACGCCTCCCTTTGTTGCGCAGCGTCCATTTCAGGAACACCGGCTTCAGTGACTCCACTTTCAGTTCCTTCTGCCATTGTTTCACTTTTCATTATCAGACTTTAATATTCATTTGTACAGTTTTCTTTCAAGTAAATCCGACAGCTTTTGTTTGAATATTCGTTAGTATTAAGGTTATTTATTTATTTTTTCCTTCCTTCTGTCAGGATTCGTTCAGTACCCAGAAGCAGACTAGAGCCGATGGTGAAAGTTTAAGAGGTTTATTCAGACAATAATCTGACTGGGAAGAATGAGCTGAGGGGGTCGGGGCTGGGTCCAGGTTCTGTTGTGAAATAGGAGAAGCTGGCAGGAGAGGCGAGGTGGAGGAAAATCCAGATGGGTTCCTCTCGCCGGGACATCCTGGACCCTCCTTGGTCAGAGGACTTTTTTCATGCGCACCCGGATAGGCCTGTGAGCGCCTGGAGGCGCTCGGGTCGGGGGAGGGTACTGTCACGCTCCCTGATCTTGACCCTGGCTGCCTTGGAGTCTGGGGCATGGTTCGGCTCGTTCATGCGGTGGCACACCTGATCTGCAATTCCCCCTCATCACGCACCCGTAGCTTGTACCTGGCCAGCTCTCCAGTCCATCGGGCGGATTGTTGTGGTTACATGATGTACGCTTCACACCAGCCCTCGGATTATCCTAGTCCAGTTTTGTCTTGGTATCTCCTGTTTTCCTTATTCTCGACCTTTGCCTTTTTGTCCTCAGGAGATTCACCCTGTCCCCTGGATTGGTCCTGCCTATTCCTGCAGCCTGCACAGTCA